ATAAACCTTCTTTAAACATATACTCGTGGTATCTACGTTTATACACATTTTCTATACAGCTCCGTTATTTCTGTGCCCCATTTCTGGCTAATCGATTTGTCTAGATGCATTTAGGCACAGTAGAGCACTTAGCGCAGTGAACGGAAAACATTATTTGATAGAGAGGTTTCTGCGTCTTATTTATAAACTTTTACGGGCAACAAATACTGATTTTTTTTTAAATGTATTTAGAACAATCCGCCTGCAGACGGTATATCCTGTATGATCCCGGTATAGAATAAGCTAACCCTTTCTTTCCCGTGGGTGTCTTAAGAGACAACTAAGGGATGAGCGCCCTCTTAAAACATCTCCAAAGCCTAACTGTGGTTTCCCCATTATGGTGGTGGGTTTCCAGGGGGACTGCAGAGAGATCAATCTGAAAGGGTATATTGCTAGCAATAATGCTGGTTGTCCCCATTACTAAGAATCCCTTCCCACTGTAATGTATGTAACTCTATTATTTTAGAACAGCTTTACCCGTTTGACTAATATTTTTTTTATTTTGTTTGTAATTATCAGTACAAGATTTGTATGAAAAAGAATGATTGAATAATGTAAGATTGTTTTGTACAAAAAAGAAACCGACTTCTTTTTTTTATACAACTTAGAATGGCAAACAAAATGACGGAGTACATTGATAGACTTATGCAATTTGTAACGAACTCTCTTTGTTGGCAGTTCAAAATTACGTACACACTTAATTTAAAATAAAATACAAACATTTACTTAAACAACTTGGCTGTAGCTAAATTAATAAAGTTTTCGAAATGTAATACATTTAAATGAATTGAATTAGCAACTTGGATCTTTGAAGTCACGCACATGATCCCACGTCACTTTTATGCTTGCCACTTAGTTAATTCAATTTTATAATATGTAAGCTACCCGCCCCGGCTTCACATGGATGTACTAATGAAGAAATTGAGACAAGATCTTCCCTCTCGCTCACTCACTCGATTTCTTTATATGCAGTTTTTTAACTCAATTTGTTCTCTTTTCTATTCACTTTTTAAATGATTAAAAAAAAGGATTTTGTATTTGTTTGTATTTTTTTTTTGTTTTTTTTTTTACGTTATAACTCAGTAGATTCTAAACCAATTTGAAAAAATCTTTTTTTTATCTGAAAATGTTAATACTTAAAGATAGATAGGTACCATAAACATTTTGTCAAAAATGTTGCATTGTTTTAGTTTTTATACCAAAATTACTGGTATTGCCACAATTTTACCAGAGGAAGACTTTGTACAAAAGTCGATTGCTTGGGTACCTCTGTTCCATTCGTGTTTCTACCGTGAAGCAGTGGTGTTTGCATTGCTGTGTTTCGGTTTGAAGGGTGGGATATGGCGTGAATTTACAGGGTACAGAGGAATAACACCTGAGTTCTCAGGAATGGCAACGCATGGGGGGTATCATGGGCGAAACAGTATACTCTGTTATGTCCATGGCACTGCTTATGTATATAGGCGACGTTACCACTTTCCATCAGGTGGGCCTTCAGCTTGTTTGCCATTCTAAGTTGAATAAAAAAAAAAAAAATCAGATGAATTTATCAAGAAAAGTAATTTTGAAGTTTCTGTCTGAAGTATCGTGTATTCCACGTAGATTTGCTAAGTTAGAAGTTAGATGAAGAGCGATGTTCTACATATAATAATATAATAAAGAGTAAAGATTTGATTATTTGTTTGTAACAGATAAACTCAAAGATAATTTTTATTTTTAATAATATAAATATATTTATTTCATAATTAGACACGGCTAATGACGTAGTTTAAAACTCAATGATATCCTAAGACACTGCTCGATAAAAATTAGCCAGGACATTTTCCCCATTTTTAAAAACTTAGTTAAATCTCACTACCTATCCTTATAATCACTTAGTCCTACGTATTTACAGTTTTATGTGTTATATATATATAGTGTGTTACTATGGTATATTTGTATGTATTTATGCATATATATGTATGTATATATTTGGATGTATGTGTTTATTTATGTATGTGTATATGACTATGCTGTCACAGATATTATTTTTTACAGATGTATTTCTTTTAACGCGCCACCTACCTACATATGCTTTAATTCCTTCTACCCAAAAGTTATCTGGAAGAGATTGCTTAGCAATAAGAACGCCTTTTGTACTACACTATACGTATTGAAAACTGTTCAACAAATCCTGTTATGTTGGTGCAATAAAGTGTTAAATAAATAAATAACTAAAATAAATTTCGATTTTTTTTTAGAATCAATAGTTATTTTGATTTAAAACCCAAACTGAACCGATTTTGATAAAATTGCTATGGGACCAATCTACTTATATTTAATTACTAATTGATTTATGTTTTTCGGATAAAAAATAATTTTCTAAATTGATTTATAACTGACACATTTATGAGGTAACAAACGTAAAAATATACATAGGAATCGAACAACCTCATTTTTTTTAAGTTAGTTGAAAAAGAAAAATTACGCTTCAGCTATAACTTCGTGTTATTTAAATCCCGTTTTTTTAGACGTTTTTTTTTTATCATTCGATGCTCCATCTAGTCTTATGTGGTCTGGCACCGAAATTTCAAACAAACTTTTACATAGATTACAGATATGTCACAATCAAGTACGCATTAAAATTTTGCGCTCGTTAAATGTATTTACTTATTTGAGTAACATAGATTAACATAGTACCGAAAATGTTTCACTTTGATGTCTTTTGCTGAATTGTTGGCACGGACAGATAATTATCCTAATACGGGATTTGAACCCAGTACCTTTGTATAACGTTAATCTTTTTGGCTAATGACTACGGAAGTATTAGGTATCGTATCGTATTAGGCGTTAGATGTGTACTAATGAACATTGGCCTTCTCATAAGGGGAGCGTTTTGCCAGTAGTTGTCATGTTTGGCAGGCTTTTCTCTAGGTCTTCCTAACCCTCCTAGGAGTTTTTTTTTTAATGGGTGATAATGGAATGGTAATCCCACCCGCGCTGTACTCGTAGGTATACACCGGCGGGGCACCAGTAAATGATGATAGGTGAGGATGAAGCAGTGCAGGTAGAATGATGAATCATTATGATGAATTCAACAAGAATTGTTCACGATGGTTTCCAGGGGGATCCACGTGGAGGTCGACCTAATAGGGTATATTGCTAGCAATAGGGCTGTCAAACTCCATTGCTAACAATCCCTTTTCCCCCTCCTAGGAGGATTTAGGTGGAGGACTCGGGGTGGACTTCTTTACCTCGGCTTCAATTTCAAGGGCAACTACCCCGCAGGTCACTGGATCAAAGCTCTACCTTTGGGTGAGGCATGGTCTTCTACCGCCGCTACCATCGTGGCGGCTCCTTCCCCTAGTTGGGAGTTCGAGCGGGTTGGCAACTACAGTTAGGTTTTGGTGATGTTTTAAGAGGGACATTGCTGTCCATTCCTCGACTCTGTAATTTCATTATTATATTTCACCGTTCAAATCGAAACACAGCTATGCAAACGTAACTGCTTCATAGCAGAAATACGAATAGGACAGAAGTACCCAAGCAGACGACTTGTGTACAAGGGGGGAAAGGGATTGTTAGTAATGGAGACTGAGAATCCCATTGCTAGCAATATACCCAACCAGGTCGACCTCCTCGCGGTTCCCCCTGGAAACTATCATGGTTAATTCCTGATGAATTCATCATGATGGGCTAACTGGCCTGTTTTCATTCTCATCTATCACCCTTCACTGGTGCTCCGCCAGCGTATACCGTTAGCGCAGGCGGGGTTACCATACCATTTTCACCCAGCAAAAAAAAAGACTTGTGTACAAAGCCTTCCTCTGGCATAATAATTATATTAGATACCTATCATAGGACAAATATCAAGGCAATATTCGCTTCACAGAATCAGTGCTAGTTTATTTGATCATACAAATAATGTAAAGGCAGTAAAGAGAATATAATATTATTTATTATTAAATATGGATACTTATTTCCAATAATCAATCATACATATTATAAATCGAGCATTTGTACGTATGACGTGAATTTCTTCAATTCAGTTACCACGAATTGTATAATTTATCAACTATTCGTGTAACAAGTTTTTTTTTTGTACAACTTAGAATGGCAAACAAGCTGTCAGCCCGCCTGATGGAAAGTGGTAACCGTCGCCTGTAGACATGAGCAGTACTATGGACATAACGGAGTATACTGTTTTGTTGATACCTCCCATGCGTCTGCCAAGCGTGGCAACTACTGACAAAATTCTCTTTGGGGGGAATACTTATGATTAGCTGTGGACGGTTAATTGCTGAAATGAAACTTATGTATTAGTTTAGGATATGGTCTGAATTACATACATATTTTCTAATTTATAAAAACGTTAAGTGAAATGGAATGAATTTGAAATGAATTTATTTTGCTAGAATGCAGGTAATTTTAGATGATAGAGGTTTATATTACCCGTGTACATTCTGCCTCTATGTCGGCGTGCAAATTTTTAACAATATAAGAAATTTATATGTATATTCTACATTATATTTCCTTTCCCTTAAACCTTTGATAAACGTATTTCAACTATTGAACTGTTTTCTCTCTTTCTTTTACACTAAATTCTCAAATCGATAGAAAGCGACGCAGTAGTGTAATGGTTATAGTAGATTTGCAGAAGGTTTTTTTTTTATAAATAAAAGGTTAGAATATGACAATCAGTTAGTTTTTTATACTACTATGGTGGCAAACAAGCATACGACCTGTCTGATGGTAAACGGAGATACCGTAGTCTATGAACGCCTGCAATATCAGGGATATCACGCGCGCGTTGCTGACTCTTCAGAAACCTTAATTACCTTTTTGAAAACCCCATACTGTAGTCTCTAGGGAAGGCCTCTAGTTATCTAGCATCTATAAAACGAGCTCTTTTTAATTTCGGACTAAATGTACAATGGATGTATGCTATGCCAGTGATATTTATTTGTCAGTTAATTTTCCAGAATACCCTGGCAATACTGGATAAACTGGATATCGATAGTGAAAAGCCGTCAGAAGAAGAGATTGCAAGACTCTTCGGGTATGAAGAGGCATATCTGGCCGGAGAACTCGGGGTGTGGCAGCGACTCAAACCGAAGGTGTGGGCGTTGTTTGACGAGCCATCCAGTTCCCCACCAGCGAAGGTAAAAAATATAAATTTCTTTTTATACAACTTAAAATGGCAAACAAGCTGACGGCCCACCTGATGGAAAGTGGTAATCGTCGCCTATAGACATGAGCGGTACCATGGACATAACAGAGTATACTGTTTCGCCCATGATAACCTCATGCGTTGCCATTCCTGAGGACTCAGGTGTTATTCCTCTGTACCCTGTAAATTCACGCCATATCCCACCTTTCAAACCGAAACAGCCATGCAAACACAACTGTTTCACGGTAGAAACACGAATGGGGCAGAGATAGCCAAACAATCGACATTTGTACAAAGTCTCCCTCTAGAGATGATCTAGAGAGATGTATGGATTTAGTTAATTTATTCTTTTTTTTTTATTTTATTATTAGTGTATGTGCTGTTATATATTTGTACAAAATAAAGTTTCTTTCTTTCTTTCAAATATAGAGATTTCTATGAAATTTGGTATGTTTATATAGTATATGGTATGGAGAAAGATATTGGCTACTCCTTATCTTAGTAAATATATCCCGATCACGCGGACGAAGTCGCTGGCAAAAACTAATCATGTAGTAAAAGAAATAAAACTAATTGAAAACTCATTCTTTTTCAAGTCGCTTAAAACACAACGTTAGCCAATAACTGGCTGATCCTTTTTGGGACGTTTTTTAATACTACGCTCCGTCTAGACACAAAAGATCTATGCATGTAGCCAACAAACTGTCAGACACTTTCAAAGTGGAATTTAATGTTACTTTGTCACTTCGTTCTACTTCTTAAAATATGTATTATTTTACGCCATAAAAGAGTCGCTGCTGTTTATGGCCACTTTTGTTACATGATACTAGATTTATAGCCGAGATATTAATACGTTATCTGGGGAATACCCTAGTTCGGATCACCGGCTAAGTGGATCAGGTTTTTAAATCACATTTTTATTAAATTGTGCGCACTAAAATTCAATGAACCCAAATTACTTCAAGATCAACAAATAATTCCCCATGCCTCTACACAACGCCCGTATTTTTTTCTGGGTCTCTTACCGGCCCCCTTTAGGCCTGCAGTGCCCACAAGGGGGCGTTATAGCCTCCTTGTGGGCACTGCAGGCTTTTTTTGGGAAAGGCTGGTTTAATATTATATTAAATGTAATTTATTCAGAATAATTTAATTTGCAACCGAACAGTCTAGATTAATTCGATGGGTGCCCAGTTTTGTAAGTATCATTTGTTTCTCATTAAGAATACATTTTGTATTTGAGAAAACTGGGTAAGTAGGGCGCGACGTTCATAATGTCCCCCATTAGTTCCCTTCGTCGAGCACCTGTTATTCGAACATGACCTTGTTAAATAATATCGCATCGTATTTTAACGTTGTTGCGTTAATTTTATAGGATTTTAAACGATTATAATTACGTGAGATGTTTAAAAGGGACGCTACTGCCTATCCCACGCCGTCCCTTAGTCCGCTCTTACGACACCTAACATCTAATAACGGAGGGAAAAGGATTGTTAGTAATGGAGACTGAGAATCCCATTGCTAGCAATATTCTCAACCAGGTCAACCTCCTCGCAGTTCCCCCTGGAAACTATCATGGTTAATTCCTGATGAATTCATCATCGCTGGAGGGGCAACAGTGGGATGATCTCCCTCTTCAGTCGTACACTCTTGACAGAGTGGTCGTGGGTTTTATGATGACAGTGGATCGTCGATGAGGCCCTCCTTCGCGACTGAGGTCCTCGCAATGCCTCCATCTGCTTCTGCTCACAGCCGAGCGAGAGCATTCCACAATAGACTGCTGTGTGGCCATGATGAGGGATGATAGGTGAGGATGAAATGGCAGATGAGTTAGTCTACCGTGATGAATATACCTGGAATTCAGCACGGTTTCCAGGGGGGACCACGGGGAGGTCGAACTGATAGGGTATATTGCTAGCAATAGGACTGGTAATCCGTATTACTAACAATCCCTTTCTCTCCTAGTCTAATGTGTTTAAAACGAATTATATAACGTAGATCTAAAATATAGTACAGTTATATACACAGATGTGTAGTTATATGTTCAAAATTCGCATCTTAAACACACATATAAGTACAATGATAAAACAAACACCAATAAGTAATACGAGGTTTTCCCTAGAGACTACAGTATGGGATTCTTTAAAACTTTGAAGAAATCTTAACACACCTGTATTATGGTTTCTTTAGGGTCGACAAATGGGCGTGTGACATCCCTAGTATTGCAGGTGTCAATAGGCTACAGTGACTATTTACAATTAGATGGGCTGTATGCTTGTTTACCACAGTCGTGGTATAAAAAAAAGTACATAGAAATATTGATACACAGATCTTAATCTAATATATAAAATTCTCGTGTCGCGGTGTTTGTTACCAAACTCCTCTGAAACGGCTTTACCGATTTTTAGGAAATTTTGTGTACATATTGGATAGATCTGAGAATCGGCCAACATCTATTTTTCATACCCCTCAATGATAGGGGTGACTCACCTCTAAATTTTTTTTTTAATTTTTTTGTCAATTTTTTTTATTCTTATTTTATTATGATTTAGTATTGAAAAATACATACAAATTCAAATGTTCACGCTTTTACGATTAACCCCTGTTGTTTAATCGCAATTTTTATATGCCGCAATAGAGTTGCAAGATGACAATCGAATATAATAATTTTAGTACGATATATTTTCATGTGTAGTTCTAGAAATAATGTATATGGTAAAACAACGTTTACCGAGTCAGCTAGTAAATATATAGGCACGTGTGTGCTTCAGCAATACAAAATAGGTCATAGCTCAGTGTGGAAAACTCAGAGAGGAAAATACTAATTTTCAGCCATGATCACAAGGATGAGTCGGAAATTCAGACTAGAAAAAAATTGTTGGTAAAAAATTAAAGTGTTGAATTAAAACAAAATGAGTATGTACATTACCAGTAAAATACTTCAAATTTTTACGCAATATACTTTGAATACAGTGGTTATTAGTCAATTTTATCTAAATTTATTGTTATTATTAGAACCCCGCGGGATGCAGAGGCTCGTGCTCAAAATCAGCGCTGTAGTGTCCCTGACACTACAACAAAATGCTGAGCACGGACCTCATTTTGCAAATATTGCGACACACGTACACTCGTTTTGGATGTAACTGTAATAATACGCATTTTTTTTATTTTCTTTATATATATATATATATATATATATATATATATATATATTTTTTTTTTTTTTTTTTTTGACTCCTGTGTGGGTGTAGTCGTATATTTTTCTAAATTTCACGCAACAGCATTTGAATAATACGATGATTTTTTTATTTCACGGTAGAAACACGAATAGGACAGATGTGTTGGCAGTAAATCCTTACTATATCCGTTTGTCGATTTTTAGTGCCTTAATGGCTTCACTGATCTCTATAAAATATGGTAAGCACGTACTTAAAGGAGTGGAAAAGGACATAGGTTGCTTTTAATCCTGGTCAGTAAACATGTGCTAGTCACGTGGACGAAGCGGTGTGTAAAAGATAGTAAATTATATTTTATAAATATTGTTCTTCACTCAAACAAGCAACAAATTACCAGCTCTCGATCACTCGCTTCCAAAATCTGCGCGTATGAAGTTGGCGGGTAAAAGCTGGCAATAAATAATCTTATCAATATAAAAAAAAAAATGTAACTAGAAATCGTCTGTACATTGGAGGCGTTGTGAAATGAATTGAGATAACGAAGTTAGTAGAGATGTTGAACTAATGATCAAATGATTTGTAACTAACAAAATTAACAAAAAAAAAAATTATTTTATGTACTAAATACTAATTTAGGAAATTAAGATAAAAATGGTGGGGCGACACATTAACCGGTGCTAAATAAACAAACAACAAAACAATTTTCTTACTGCACTGCACGCATAAATATAGATATGACTCCATAAATTGATATAAGGGATCTTAACACTTTGCTGACCGGTAACGAGTAAACTCGTCATTGCACTACCGTGTAGATACGTCCTCCTACCACGACGAGCAACACCATCTGGATTACAAAGCATTCCTGGCCAAAAAAAAACTTTTTTGTATTTAGGTTTTTATCACAATTTTAGTTCACTTCACCAAAGATTTCAACCATGACGGAATTCCCGGTCAGCAAAGTGTTAATAAAAGCAATAGAAGCCAAAATAATAATTTTTAGAAATTTTCTGTCAACAGAGAGACAAAATTTCTAAAAATAAGACAATCAGAGAGACATCTCTGATTGTCTGTCTGTACGTTTCTTCCGGCATCACGCAGGAACTACTGCACAAAATTGGATGCGGTTTTCATAGTTGTATTCATGAAAATCTAATTTAATAACAGTCGTGTGTTTTATCTCGATACGCCATCTGAAAGTAGTCTATTTCACTGATTTTTCCTACTTCTGCAATCCACACACATGAAGTCGCGACAAAAAGCTAGTATAAGAGAAACCTATAAAGAAAACTTGCGAGTTATTTTCAACATTCTTGAATAATTCTTGATGAAACAAATGTAATAATTCATACGAAATCATAAATCCACAGTGAGTGCCGTTTCCGACGGATGTTCGTCGCAAGATTGATGGGCATCTTCTTACCGACATTTTTTCAATTCAATCGTATCTCCATTTTCAGATAACTTGATTCTTGAAAGATAACTTATGATATCCGCATTCATTTGTTTAGTTTTATACTTGATTATTATTATAAAGGAACAAAAAATGATTCATTAAATTATAGACCCAATTCAATCCTTCTTTCAGGAGGGAAAGGGATTGTTAGTAATGGAGACTGAGAATCCCATTGCTAGCAATATATCTAACCAAGTCGACCTCCTCGCGGTTCTCCCTAGAAATTGTCATGGTTAATTCCTGATGAATTCATCATGATGGGCTAACTGACCTGTTTTCATTCTCATCTATCACCCTTTGCTGGTGCTCCGCCAGCGTATCCCGTTAGCGCAGGCGGGGTTACCATACCATTTTTACCCATAA